GACGCCCCAAGTAATTAAAGTGAGTTGTTAAAGATTGTGTCCGGTATTAATTGACTTTTTTTTTTAATTTGAGAATAAATCTAATGCACTTGCAAGTACTCTGTTCGGTTCATCTTAATTAAGGTAATGGCTATGGCTTTGCTTGTGTCTTAAATCACGTGTCAAAGGCAGGGATGTTGATGTAAGTGGAGTTTTAGTTTTAGAAGTTGTACAAGTTATACAAGTTATATAAGTTATATAATTCAGCCTAGTAAACCTTGTCAGAAAACAAATACACGGAAGTTACTACAGTAGAACCTCGATTATCCGACCCAATCGGGACCGAGAGTAGGTCGGATAATCAAAAAGTCGAATAATCGAAACGTGTGGTTTTTGAGGATGAAAACAATAAACAACACCTTTAAATGTCAAAATAATAGTATGTATGTACACGTATATTAAAATCTGAAGTACATGTTAACGTTGAAGTATACAAACATATTTAATGTATAACTATTAAGACTATATACTTGGTACTTGGTAATTGCAAAACAATCGTCAATTATTTTATTTATAATTTGTTAAAATAACTGTCAATTTTTGATTGGCGAACAGATGAAACGCGTTTTTGAGCTGCTAAGTCTCGCAGCCTTTTGAGAAGAAGTAGTTGCGTTGGGCAACATTCGTCTTGACTCTCGAACCATTCGAGACCTGTTTCAAAAGCATTAAATGCCTCCGCATGTGACGGTTTCTTCGGTGCACCCAAGCTTTCATTGTCACTGCTGTCGCTGTCGTGATCGTCGTCAAGATTTTTTATTGATGAAACAATTTCATCATCGTCTAAAATTTGATACCCTTGATCATTAGCGTCGTGGTTTAACCAGTCTTCGACATCATCTTTATCACAATCCGCGAATCCTGGAATATTGCCGATTAAGGAAGCGAATTCGTCAAGATCACTTTTCTCTGTGTTACTCTCCCTCTCTTTTTCAGGTTCTTCTTCAGCCTCTTTTTCAGGTTCCGGCTCTGTTTCTACTGTTTCTGCTGTTTCTGCTGTTTCCCCTGTTTGCGCTGTTGCTGTAACTTTAGGAAGAATCCATAATTTTTTCCAAGCATTTCGTAGATTGTCTTCAGTCAAAGAGTCCCATGCATCGGCTATCATATAGCAACAATGCTTTAAATTTAATGACTTGGAAAATTCAATGACACCATCTTCAGTGCCATCGTTCAAAAGAAGTCGTCTTAGAACTTGTTTCCGGTACATTCGTTTCATTTTTTCGATGACTCCCTTATCCATATGTTGGATTAGAGATGTGACGTTTGGTTTGAGATACATCACTTGAAAGTCCGGATCGATCGAATTCAGAGTTTCGGCGGATGGATGTGACGGTGCATTATCTAGAAGGAGCAGGACTTTACCAGTTTTTTTTGAGTCTGTCGCCATTTTTTAACGATAGTTATGAAATCATTTGTGTACCATTCGACGAATAGTTTCGCGTCCATCCAGGCGCTTTTTTGCGCTTTTTAAGACACAGGTAAGTTTTTAACGTCCTTGAAGCACCGTGGTTTCTTGGATTTTCCAATTAGCAGCAACGGCAATCTATGGGTCCCAGCAGCATTAGCACATGTCATAGCAGTCACTCTTTCTTTTGATACTTTAAAACCTCGTGCGGCAGATTCTTGGCGAGATGCAAGCGATTTCCTTGGCAATGATTTTCAGTTAAGACCGGTCTTGTCTGCATTATAAACGTCGTCACGAGAAAACTTTTCTTTTTCTAAAAATGCCTCAAACGTTTTCTTGAATTCTTCAGCTGCACTGGAATTTGCTGATAATGTTTCACCTTGAATTTGCAATTCACGTATTCCATGCCTAGATTTAAAATTGTGAAGCCACCCAAGGCTGGCTTTAAAATCTGTTTATCCGCCGAGTTTTGTATTCAATTCAAGAGCTTTCTCACACAAAAGTGGGCCTGAAATTGGTTCTCCCAAGTTGCGCCTTTGTGCGAACCACGTTGAAACAGCGTCATCCAGTTCTTTATCTTTCGCATTTTTCATTGCTTTTATTTTCTTTACTCCGTCATCGCTATCCATTGTAGACGCAAATGTTGTGAGTGCTACTCGATTTTTTTTTATATCGGTGATCGTTGTTTTTCCAACACCATAAAAGGTTGGTAAAGATGCGTGGGTCTCGCCCTTATCTATCTTCGATAAGATTTCTTGCTTTTTTTCGATCGTAATCACATTACGTTTTCGCTTGGGAGTTAACGGACTTGACGTTGACGCCATTGCACAAATAAGTAACGAATGTAATTATAATAGAAGAAAAACAATTTTACATTTACATTTATATTAGCACGCTGTGAAAAAATATTAAAACTGCAAAGAATCTTCGTAAGCGGACTACACACAAATAAATATGCTCGGTTTTGAGACGCCTGCATTGCACTTGTTTCGAATGCCTCAATGCGCGAATCAACAAGCACAGCCAGTCTTCCTGTCCAGACCTGTACGCAGTAGTGCGCGGTTCGACGTAAGCTCCGACTATAGGTTGGTACACTCGCGCACTGAGACACCCGTGGCTAGCAGCAGAAACGTATGTATACCCGGACTCAAGCCTCGTACAACGCAAACAAACCCGCGTTTTCACATACATACTTAAAACGTGCTGTTTCATGCTCGCAGTTTTCGCAAAAATATATTATGTATCACTCACGGCGGTGACAGTGCTCAAATATAATATATATCTATCACCCTAACGGTCGGATAATTGAGTGGTCGGATAAACCAAATCAGCGGTCGGATAATCGAGCAGTCGGATGATCAAGGTTTGGATAATCGAGGTTCTACTGCATGTGCCTACGGAGAGAGGAGTGGTGCATAGCGAAAGAAAGCGACGAGTCTTTCTCGCTATATACTAACTTCTTAAATAAGGTCTTAGAAATTAAGGGGAAATAGAGAAGAAAAAAAGATTTCACATCTTATATTTGTAAAATACAAAAACCTATTTAAATTTACAATTCTCTATAACATATGAAAGTTTAAGAGAGGCTAGCCATATTATTTTTCGAAAATTAAATCATACAAATAAATGTTTACGCAATTGGAAGCTCAGACTTTCAAGGCATTTGTTTTTTAGTTCTTCTGATACTTTGGATTTTCGTTTAGTACTGCGTATCAAAGTACGTTGAAAAAATATTCAGCTTAAAATATTTTTTGAGGTTGATAGTATGGCTATAAGCACCTTAAATATAAATTATTATTTTTACTTATCATAATCGCTATGAACTGTAGGCCAAGCTCCGGAGGGTATCAATGAACATATGTGACTTTAGGTTGTATGAGGTCCGAAGTTTGAATAGCTGAGATGACTAGGGCTTATGCCTTCGACGGCATATTTTGGCGATTTGGGGTTCAATTCTGATTGCCATTAGATTTTTTTTTTTTTTTAAATATAATTCAGTATTCTATTTCAATTTCTTATTGCAACTTTCATTTTAATTTATGAATATTGTCTCAACACTTTTTTTTTC